CAATTCTCCATATTTAACCAAGAGCATTATTATTATTATTATTATTATTATTATTATTTTTACTGTTTTTATTTATTTTTGAGACAGAGAGAGAGAGAGAGACAGAGTGCAAGCAGGAGAGGGGCAGAGAGGCAGACACAGAATCCAAAGCATGCTCCAGGCTCTGAGCTGACAGTACAGAGCCAACGCGAGGCTCAAATTCACAAAATGTGAGATTATGACCTGGGCCAAAGTCAGACGCTCAACCCTCTGAGCCACCCAGGTGCCCCAAGAGCATTGTTTTTTCTTTTTGAATGTCTTTCATCTTCATTAGATGGCTACAGAAACTGATATTTTAAAATTTCTGTCCCATTGTCTTCCTTACTGATAATCTTAAGACAACAAAAATATTGAACTTCCTTTGGTAGTTCCTTTCTGTTTTTGTTTTGGGTTCCTTTTGGATTTACCACATTCTTCCTCTGAATTACTGAATTACAACACGTAATTCTCTGTCAGTGCAGCTGGGCCACACTGTCTTGACAGGACTCACATGAAGCTAGTAGGAAGGAAAACTGGCAGCAAGAAGCATGTGACTATTTTAATCTGTTTTTAAATGATGCTCTATTCCCTAACATATTATATTTCTTTTTGAATTCTTTCTTCTTTTAAAAAAAATATTCCCTTTTTTTAGGCGTGTCTTTTCCCTATGAAGGATTTTCATGGGCCCCCTTTCAACATTCACATTTCCCATACAGCTCTACTTTCCATTTTCTCCCCTTTCACCTGCATCTTTTGTTGCTAAACCTTCTTGATCCTGGTGTTCCTGTGGATGCTCTCCAATCATCCGGCTCCATGCAGGAATGCCCATTTGCCCTTTAGAGGCTCTGGCTTTCCTCCTATCCTTAAGAACATTCTTCATACAATTAAAAACAAAGTCCACCCATTCTCTGGCCTCTTGAAAGAGAGCAAAGCTTTCCTGTCTTTAATTAGCTTCTTTATTAGACCAAAAATTTATCTTCATTCTAATGACAATTTGTCCTTCACTTTGCCCTTTTTTCTCCAGAACCTGACAAACTTCAAGTATCTGAAATGTGTGATCAAAATAATAGTGTTTTTCACTGTATAAGCTACAGCCCCTATTCTTTCTGGCTCATAAATCCTACCCCTTTTATTGTCTCATTCCCAATTTTTATAGGAATATTCTGGGTTTTGGTATGCTTAACCAGAGAAGCAGCCTTAATTATTTATTCTTATAGTTCAGTGTCAATTATTTAACTTCGAAAGGAAAATCTAATCGACCTCCCCTCCTTCCACCCCAGCTAAAGGAAGTCTGTCCCTAGGCATGTCCTTAGGTAACTTTACTTTTGGAATGATCCTTTTCTATTCCCCAGTACTGATCAATGATCATTTAAGTGCCAACCCCGTGCTTTGTATATCTCAAAACTCTACATTAAAGAAAAAATAAAACTTCATCTCTAAGTAGTTTCCTTTTACAACTACTGAGCAGAAAGAGCTCCACATGTAGCTCCTTTGGCTGAAAAAGAAATTCATTCTTCACTTTTAATCTAGGGTCTCTTGCCAAAATTATCTCTAGTGGCCTGGCCCTGAGACTGGCAGCCTCTAGGATGGCTCCCAGTTATCCCCGCCCTCTTGCTTATTCACATCCTTGTGCAATCTCTTTGCTTTGGATGTGAGCTGGACTTACTGACTCATTTATAATGAATAGAATTTAGCAGAAGCAATGGGATGTCACTTCTGAGATTATGTTACAAAGACTGTAGCTTCTATCTTAGACACCTCTCTTGCACTCTCATTCTTCCTCACTTGGTGCTCTGAGCCAACCCAGCTGTTGTTCTACATAGAAGTCCTTGTTGTAAGGAACTAAGGGAGTCCTCCGACCAACAGCCAGCAAGGTGCTAAGGCTCTCAGCCCAACAGCCATAATAAAATAACTCCTGCTAACAACCACAAAGTGAGTCTGAAAACAAATCTTCCTCTAGTTGAGCCTTTAGACAAAACTGTATGCCTGACTCCCTGACACCAACCTCACAAGAGGTCTTAAGCCAAAAGTACCTAGCTAAGTCAAATTCAGAGCCCTGGCCCACAGAAACTGTGAGATAGTAAATGCTTGTTGTTTGAGAACACTGAATTTGAGAATAGTGGATTGTTCAACAAGGGATAACCAATAGGCCCTTAAAGCCAATTTTTAAAGATTTCAGTCTATGCTTTTTATATAAGTTTCTGTTTAGGGGCGCCTGGGTGGCTCAGTCGGTTGAGCGTCCGACTTCAGCTCAGGTCATGATCTCACACTCCGTGAGTTCTAGCCCCACGTCGGGCTCTGTGCTGACAGCTCAGAGCCTGGAGCCTGCTTTGGATTCTTTGTCTCCCTCTCTCTTTGCCCCTCCCCTGCTCATGCTCTGTCTCTCTCTGTCTCAAAAATAAAACACAAACAAAAACAAAAACAAAACATATATAAGTTTCTGTTTAGGTCATTCTTTCCTCTGGATGTCAATGTAATTACTCATATAAGATTTTCTTATGGCACAAAAACAGACACATAGGCCAGTGGAATAGAATAGAAACCCCAGAACTAGACCCACAAACGTATGGCCAACTCATCTTTGACAAAGCAGGAAAGAATATCCAATGGAAAAAAGACAGTCTCTTTAACAAATGGTGCTGGGAGAACTGGACAGCAACATGCAGAAGATTGAAACTAGACCACTTTCTCACACCATTCACAAAAATAAACT